ACTATTTAACAGCCTGTGTTTAGTAATAGGTAACGTTTGTTATTATGGGATGTCTTCTGAGGACTGATTTTATGTGAGTTTATATGATAGTACATTAAATGACGAAAATATGTGTATTATCAAATAATCTGCTGATTATTTCTTTTTCAATAGTTCTGTCTGTTAAATATTGGAAATATTGAAAGCTGTCATTTCCCAAAGCCCAAGATGATGTGCTGAAGTTGTTTTATTCGACCAACAGTCCAAAACCCTAAAATGCTGATAATAGTGATAAATCAGTCGTGTCAAAGAAAAGCAGCATATCCTCACTTATTAGACACTTTGACCAGCTAATGGTTGGTGTTTCTGCTAATAGTAATCGAGAAAGCAATCAGCAGATTAATCAATAAAGAAAGTAATTGTTAGCTGCAGTCCTAAACTCAGACTGCTGCAGCAGAATGAATACACAGCAGTATGAACAGGAGAATGGTTACAGCTGAGCTCTTTGAGTGTACCTGCACATAGGAGGAAAACTCTCAACTTCAAGAGTATCAACTAAACACACCTTGGCATTTGTGTGGGAACCTTCAGTTCAGTAGACTTGAATGAGGCAAAACTGGACCAGACGAGCCTGCATCAGCCATCGGTCCTCTATGGTCAGTCATGAAATTCACCGGCCACTAGATGTCGCACTAGAGCTCCAGCATCTCAGACCAAAACAGTGTGCACTTTGACCAACCAGGCTCCTTAGATAGAACCAGTGATTGTACCTAGCACCAGCAGATAATTGGAAAAGACACTTCAAACTGCACTTAAACAACAACGTCTCTGTTAGTCTTTCCAGCCATCATCACAGTTAGAAATACATTTCCAGACACCGTTCTCTGCTTAGGACAGCGTGACTCCACTCTACACAGCAGATGAGTTGTGTGCTGCTTTATTAATGTTGTGAAGCTCACATCATGTGTAACGTAGCGCTCCATTCTTCTCTCCTGCAGCCAGAGACAGTTCAGACGCTGTACATGAGAGTGCTGCATCTCCTGTATCGGTTCAGACCCGAGTGTCACTCCATGGTAAGTACTGTGTTCAACCACTTGGCCTCATAGAGCACTTTGACCCCCTAATGTTCATGTAGGGAACCATGTGATGGTATTGTTGGAGTCGTTAGCATACAGCTACTTGTATCCTTCTTTGATTTAAGTCACTTGGTTTTCCTTTTTGTTTCCCCACAGCTTCCACTGTTGGAGAACATTCAGTACCCAGTGTATCATGAGGGAGCCACTGCTATCATTAGCGTCTACATGCGCCTGTGAGTTTTCTTGCTTTCTCTCCTGGATGTAACACAATCTGCACAATCTGCACAGAATGAAACATGATCGCTGCTAACAAGGCAATGGATATATCTGTATAGACATATGTACGTGGTCTGCAGGGCTCCGTAGGCTACAGCTCTGGAGTTGGGACTCAGTGTGTGTGTGTGTGTGTGTGTAGTCCGTCCACAGTGCTTGTATTTAACAGTGTGTGATCTTCCTCAGGCGGCAGTTTCTGCCTATGTGCTTCGTGTACGATTTTTCACTGAACGACCTTTTAGCTCCAAGTAAGAATATGTTTTTATCTGTTCAATCACATATTTGCACATCTGATGGTGTAGATGTCAGATCACCCGGACACTGGTCTTGTTCTTCCTTTCCAGAAAAACAGAAGACTCTGACTATTCTAAGTGCCATCATGAACTTCCTTCACTTCAGGAAGCAGAGGATGGACATGATCTTGGAGAAGCAGGCCAAATTTGTATGTTATATTCAGGGTTAATGTTTTATTTCATTGGCCTGAGGTAAATATTCCTTGTTGTATGAGCGCCATGCAAACAAGATGCTATTGGCTCTCGTTACAGCACTCAGCATGGCTTTTAAAACCCGCCGCTGTTGGCTGCACGTTTAAGTGAAGTAACAGTTGCTCTCTGTGTTGTCAGAGGGCAGACATGGACCGGCTGCAGGCTTACACCAAAGGAAACTTAGAGGCAGAGAAGAAGATTGAGATCCTGACGTGAGTCTCAGAGTAAATATGTCAAATATGTGCATTTCTGTTGTTGCTGTTTGGTATATTGCTGCTTAAAGCTTCTTTAATGTGATGTTTAGTGGGGCTGCACCATATAGTGAAAACAAAATCATATTGCGATTATTTCTGATTAGGTTGCAATATAATTCATGATTAGTGTGGGAATGATCATTTTTGCGTCACTATATTTATTTTCACCTGGGGTCTGTACCAAACACACACGTTCTCTTAAATCTGGAGGATTTGGAGGCCAGGGCATCTCTCCACACCTACAGTACTTCATTATAATGCCGTTTATATGATTTGCGTATTGCGATTTCAATGCAGCTCATGTTTAGCTGCTGTTTTGCTGTTTCATAGGATTTTAAATGGAATATTTCTGTGTTTTGAAGCAGGCCCTGGGAACATTAATGGACCTTTTTCTGACAATGTTTATAGACTAAACAATGAACAGCTTAATTGAATACATAATGGACAGATTAATTGATAATGATAAAACATTTTTAGTTGCAGCTCTAAAGTGATGATCTTTTTTCTGATCTCAAACCACTTCTTTTATTAATACTCAAAATCCTCTTTAGCTGATATAGTGAGCTTTGAGTGACATAATGACACATGATGGCTGCACTTTAACCCAACAACCTACTAAGGTATTGACGTCTCTTGTCCTCGTTCAGGACCATCCCACCAGAGCAGCAGGCGGAGGCCGACGAGCTGGCGGCTGCTCTCTCTGAGCTGCAGGCCACTACCATGCACGAATACCAGGAAGTGGTAGGTGGAACAGTCACAATGATAACAACCTGTTTTTGTGTGTGCGCTTTCAACTGAAATACATACATCTCCTTTCAGAACGCTAGAAATGACAACATCGCAGAGTGGAAAACCACCATCGCAGAGAAGACTCAGAAACTGGTATGTGACTTTGGTGTACGTCTGTGTGGTCGATCAGTGGCAGTGACAGAAGGAGTGGAGGCCTTTCACTGATCAGACTGTGTGCTGTTTGGATGTGTGTGTCAGGCCCAGGTGAAGGTGTCCTTCAGCAACGTGAAGGAAGAAATCAGCAAACTCAAATCTCAGATTGTGGAGTCCCCAGAGGAGCTGAAGAGCCAGATGGAGAAGATGAGGGAGAACCTGAAGAACATCAAGCTGTCCATCGTGAGTAGAAAAGCAAACGGGGTCATCTCTGAAAGCAGGAAATGAGGTCAGCGTTGTGGTCATTGAGCTGTGTGATGGGTTTGTGACGGCTCTGATTCCAGGCAGAAACAGATGAGCGCGTGGTGGAGCTGCAGAACATGGTGCAGGGTGTGACTCACAACCAGACGGAGATGCAGCAGATCTACAACCTGCTGCAGGACCTGGAGAGCAGCATGAACACCACCAAGCAGCGGCAGGAGGAGGTAAGAACAGGGCCCAGCTGCTCTGGATCCAGACCCGTCTCACAATAAGCAGACACACTGTGGTCATTTTGTGGTACTAAAAAACGACTTCCTCTTTTAACCCTCTTTAACATTAGTAGAGTTACTTTATCCCTGAGGGTCAATAAAGTTTGAGCTCTTAAATCAAAAATGATTTAAGTTAATAATGAGAGGTCAAATAAGAATTCTGTTTAACACAAAATACCTGACAATGACATAGCAAACATTATTCAGCTGACTGGCTAACATTAGCTTGCTCGCTACTGTTTTTGCTAGCCAAATATCAGAGTGGATAGGCTAACATTATATATTACACATTATTCTAAAAGTGAGTCATTTATTTTCCACTGTGCAGTCTAGTGGATGTCACTTTGGGCTCAGGCCTACGGACTGTGAGCAACAGGACACTGACTGTAGTTCACTTAACAGCTACTGTCACTATTAACAAGTTCAAAATTTATTCAACCTTTAAAGCTAATGAATGTTAACGAGTGAGACAGTCTCATCTCATCGGCTCCAATCAGAGCATGCTGGAAAATCTGTGGTGTGGAATCCTGTCGTTACAGCTTAATTCACTGTGCAGTTATAGTTAGCATATCACCATTATTAATGACTTATTAGTCAGCATTTACTGTATATAATAATTGTACCTTTTTGTTTTATGAGCCGCGTAAAGGGAACTACAACCTGCATTTGATTGTAAAACCCTGTGTTGTAAAATCACAAATAAAAGACCTTGTATTTCTGTGTGTGTGTGTGTGTGTGTGTAGCACCAGGAGCTGATGGCGCAGTATGAGAAGAAGCAGAAGGAGCTGAAGAACCTGTGCATCGAGGAAGGCCACATGAAGCGAGCTCTGGGCATGAAGCTGGACAAAGAGTCCAAACAGAACATCCGCCGGCAGAAGAAGAGAGAGATGAAGGAGCAGCACGTTCAAGAAGTGTTGGGGTATTTAATGCCATAATATATTTAGTATATACTGTACTATTTACGTAGTTATACATCTGATAAAGGTTGAAAACCAAACTGTTCTACAGGCAGTGTAACCAAATCCAGCAGAAGCGCGAGGAGATGGCCGACAAAATCCAAGAGATCTCCAGAGAGACGCAGCAGCTGAAGGCCGAGATCCAGAGCCTGAGAGACGTCTGCAGCAAGGAGACGGAGAAAGCTCAGGTACGGCCGCCTTCTCGCTGCTCGCCTGTGTTACTGTTTGATTCACGGTGTGAGACTAACATGCGTCACTGTGTGCAGGCTCTGTACGACACCCTGTTGACTTCAATGGACAAGCTGCACACGAGAATCGAGACGCACGTCGTGGACCTGAAACGTGATGTCACCAAGATGTCTGCAAACTTTTAAACACATAATTTTACATTCTATTACTGTGGTGTTACTTCTCTGTTCTGTGTTTTTACTGTTGTACTGTGTTGCCTTTTTCACCTTTCCTATTTAAAAGCTGTATATTAACAAAAGGAACCGCTCGTCGCCATCTCATTGTGTAGCTCTGGTTTCAGAAGCTATATGTTCACATTGTTGCACTAGTGTGGCCCAGAGATCATACATTTGTTCTGTGATCAGCCATGACTGAACCTGCTTCCACAAACCTCCTCACTGCTCCACCCTCTCTGTGGTTCCTACTGAAGACAAATCTGTAAAAATGTGCCGAAATGCTTAGTTTTTTTGTTTTCAAGGCTTCTTCTGTTGAGGAACAGCTGAGGAAGAAAGAGGACTGAATTCTAGCTTAGTTTGCAAGAGAAAAGTTTTTTTCTTACTCCTTTTCCTTCTACATCCCAAAACTAAAATGTATGTAAAGGCCCATAGCAGTGGCTTTGTATGTTTAACTTTCCATCACAGCAGCCCATTTGACTAACCATGGTGCAGTGTTTTATAAATGGATTGGTCCACTACTCTTTTGTAGTTTTATAATCCAACACTATGATGGTCTGTGTTCATTTCCATAATTGTTTGAAGGTAATGCAGTTTAGACTCTTCAGTCTGAACTTAAACTGCAGTAGCCACACAATGTAACATGTAGTCTACAAACATGAGGGTAGATTAGAAATATGCTGTCATAGGTTATGCAGCAGGTTTCAGTTGCTTAGGGTTGAGCAAGTAGTACCATCAGAGTCAAATGTGTCAATTTCTGTGCTTGTAAATATAGCAAATAAAAACAAACCTTGTTCTGTAAATAGTTTTCTAATAAATATAGCAAATTCTGATCAACCAATATCAATTCCAAATGTAAATGAACAACTTCTGGTTTAAGCCCCTCCCACTATATAGATAATTCTGTTGGTTGAGCAGATCATGGTTTACTGGCTAATCCCTATAGATTTTTATACCATACATAAATGAATGGTTGCCTAGAATAGTAAGAACAATATCTAAAGCTCTATAGCATGCATTCAAAAATGTTCAGAAATAATAGATATGCCCAGTGTACTGGAAATGTATTTTCTATTACTATAAGCAATAGTTTTAAATCTTCATGTTGTCATTATAGCTGAATGATGTGATTCCACTAGAGGAAGCAGTTTCAATGTACAGTTTGATGTTTTTTGAGGTCTTTGTCAGTCCAGTGATATGACTCCAGTCCTTAAAGCTGCTGGTGGAGGTCACATTAGGTGTTCATGGTGAATCAATAATCAGTCCGAGGACAAGAACGATTACAAATCTATTTCATATACTACCATAATGTCTTCATTGTAATTATGTGCTAAAATAAGGAGTTTTAATTGTGTTAAGACAAACTATTTGTACTATCAGTTCTGGAAACTGGTGTTGGTGGCTTACAGCATGTGTCGCTGCTGGTCTACGGTGCTCCTGGTCCATGGGGTGGACTGATTTGTTCTCTGATTTGGTTTTGTTTTTTGAAATTCTTAATGGACGTCTTCATGTTTGGGCTCCTTTTTGGGTCCTTCCTCAGAGTTAGGACGTGATTTGTTGGACTTCTTGAGCGTGGCCAGCTGAGCTTTGTACTCTTTGACCTGAGTCCTCAGAGAACGCAGCTCCTTCCGCAGATCGTTGATTTCGGCAATCAGAGTCACGTTCTCCTGCAGAGCAGACGAATATCATCAGGAAAAGGAAATACTGAACACCATGAGCATTAGTTCAGTCATTTTTAGAAATATACGACTTGAATCCCTAATGACCGCTCAGAGGAACAGTGCATGCAGCGCTTACCTTCATGATCTTGACGTAGACTTTGTCGTGCTCCTCAGCAGATTTGGCCAGCCTCGTCTTCAGACTATTAACCGTCTTCTCCAGGTGATCACGCTGGTGACAGAACGCCCTCTGAATATCTTCGTCCACGCTGCTTTTCTCCACCTTCAGCACACACACGGTTTACATTTCTTACAGTGTATGTAAATCACAAGTCTCAGTAAGTCAGTATGTTTGTGAGTGGTGTGGAAGTAAGAATGAACTCTGTGTCTGCTACATTACATGAACCACTCACCCCATCAGACTGTGCTACATAGCGTGTGTAGATCATCTGCACAGCGTCCTTCAGTCTCCTTGGCTCCTGGATGAGGCCCACGCAGTTATGGAGGTCTGACTTGAGGCGCTGAAGATGCGTCTCCAAATCTTTCACCTGGCCACACGAAAGATCAAAACCATGACGTGTTTTGTTCCCAATATTTATAAATGGCAGTGGTTTCCTGATTTTGGTTTTCTCATTTGAAAATGAAAATCTGTTGGCTGCAAAGTATACTGACCCTCTGCTCTCTGTGAATGTATATTAATCATCAGATCCTGTTTTGTTATGCTGAACATCCTTACTGACAGTCAGGGCACAGAATGCTGGTAAAATATGTATTTTGGGTTTTTTTTTAAGAACAATTGGCAGATAACAAATGACTGACAGATAATGACAGCTGAAGTTACTGTAACTATCAGAAAGTCAGTAGTAGCTACGTACGCTATCCTCCAAAAATGGGAGCTATTGTGCAGACCCACACTTGTCCCATCCTTCAAACACCATGGGTGGTTTGTATAATAGATGTGATGTAAAAGAATTGCAAACACTGTTATTTTACCTGTGATAGTGTACAACACCTGTTCATCAGAGTTTAGTTACTAAAGCTGTAAAAGCCGAATGTGCAGCGTGTGTACCGTAATAATAAGATGAAGCTGCAGTATGGAGAGCAAGTGTTCGGTGTGTGCTCACTTTCTGCGTCTCCTTGTGCATCTCCTTATCTCTGGTCCTCAGTTTGAGCCTCAGGTCAGAGATGGTGAGCTTCAGCTGAGTGTTGATCTTGTCAATCTGCACCATCTCTTCCTGCAGCTGCCAAACAGACACAGCTGTCAACATCCCCGTTTGTCTTTACAAGCCAACTGTCATTTCAACATACAGACTTTTCTTAAAATCACTCCACTATCTGCTAATGCAGGAGTTTCACTTTATTTCACCATGTTTCATCATGTTTCAGTGAAATGATCAAAACAGAATGAACTGCATTTTAAAACAGCATCTACACATCAGTATATTTGACTTGACTTCATGAAACAAGATAAAAACAACGTCTTGAAATGGAATATGAAATATATTATCACACACACACAGACCTGATGGATGCGCTCCTTCTTCTCATTGATGTCATCTTTTTGAGGCTCAGTCTGTTTCTTCAACTCGTTCAACTGGAAATCCAGAACAAACTTCAACTTCTCCAGTTCCTGGTTCTTCTTCTTCAAGCTGGAGATGGTCTTATCCTGTGTGCGTGAAGTAGAAGAACAGAATTATTTTTGAGTTGACTCCACTTTTTTATGATTAACAATAGCTAATACTGTCATAATATCCACACTGAGAACTAGTCACTTTTCAAAGTGGTTAAGGAAGACCTAATATTTCTCACAATGAACCAACAGCAGTCATGTAAGTAAATGAAATCATTTAATATCTGTTAGGAGAGCATCTCCAGGACCACAACCCACCATTGGGATCCTATGATCTTATTTTCATGTCTTCAATAATACATATATCTATAATTTCTTGCTGTATATACGGTATACTGAATTGTGCATTCACGTATTTCTATTAAACATGTTCTCAAACTTAAATTAATACAGAGGTTAAAAAAGTAAATGCCCCACAGGTTACCAGCTTCACGATAAGTCATGACTTTACAAAAGCTTTTTTAGAGCACAAGATATTGGATAAATGTGAATCTCAGCCACCTTGTCCTGGTTGGTCTTTTCGTGTCCGGAGATCTGCCTCTTCAGGTCCTCGATGTCGCTCTCCAGGGAGCGGATCAACCCCAGCAGCCTCTGCCGCTCCTGCTTCAGCTTGTTTATGTCCGCACACCTCTCGTCGATCTGTCTCTGCAGACTGTAGAACTGTGGCCACAGTCAGCCACCAGAGAGGGAGGAGAGATGTGTGAGAAGCAGACAGGGAGAAATTCAACAAATGCAATCAGAAGAGGAGGCTCACCTTTTGTGTCATGATACCGGTTTCTCCTTTCAGATTGGTGTTGGTCTCTTTCTCAGTGTGCAGTTTCTTCTCGTACTTGATTTGGAGGTCATGGATCTTCCTCTCCTCGTCCTCCTCTACTTGCTTTATGATCTCTTTAAACTCCACTATCTGCTGCTGTGCGTCCTCCTGACACTGGACAAAATCAAAGTGGACAAAAGAACTTCACTGGTTTCATGTGTTGTCCCTGCTCCTTCACCAGGGTGAACTATGAACGCAATTTAAATTAAATGAATTAAAATACAGACGATTATGGACCTGGAGAATGAGACTTAACAATCAACTATCTTCAAGCTTCCAACCCAAAGCATTGTTCTATCTTTCTCTGCTCTGATCTGATTGGTTGTTTTCGTCCAGCCCCGGTGGATTCTTGCAAATGTCATTAGAAGCACTAGGAGGAGCCAGAGAACCTGATTTATTCACAGATGATCTGTCTCATGTTCTACTGTCAGGATATAGGGAAA